TCTGAAGACTTTCTGTAAATGGGTATCTGTTAAATATTTCAGGCTTCACAGATATTGGTCTCTGCTGCAACTACTCAACTCTGCTGGTGTAGTGTGAAAGCAGCCAAGACAACACAGGAATGGATGAGTGTGGCTGGACCTACTTGTCGGGCCATATGATCAGAAGAACCTGTGATACTAGAGGTGTCTGTAGTAGGAAAAGGTGCCACATGGACTTCATGTCATTCCTGATTGGAGGATCATGACACACATCCATAGGGTCAGAAGCCAGGCCCTGCCAGTTGCAGCAGGGAAATCCAGAGGATTTCAAGGAGGCTCCTGGTAAGGTCTGGGGGCCTGGTAGACATGAGGCTTCTGTCGACAGTATATCAGAGCTCCCAGCAAGGGCATCAGAAGTCAGACAGGCCCGGCGGTCATGAGATAGAGGTGATTCTTCCGGCATTGGCGTGAGCAGGGCCACAGGGAACAGATAAGCAGCACAGGCAGGTGGCCCAGATCCTGACACCAGAAATGCAGCATCCCAGCTGTGGCTTCACGGAGCGTCCCTTATGGCCCCTTTAGACCAAGGAAGCCACTCTACAGAAAGGAGGGGAGCAGGGCCCACCCCTGTAGGACCCACATCCTGTCACATTCACTCCACCCAGAGCCACAGGCAGGACGGGGCACATTTTTGCTCTTCAACACACAGCTGAGACACCTTGGAGACGATTCCCTAGGGGATGGGGCACCCATATCTGGGACACCATATATACCCTAAACCTGGGGCCAGCAAACTAGGACAGGGGCCAAACCTGGTCCCCCATTCTTTTGCATGTTGCCTTGTCTGCTTTTGCACTGCAAAGGTAGAGGGGAGGAGCTGGTGCAGGGACAGTTTCCTAATGGCCCCCAAAGATGAAAACCTTCACTATCTTCCATTTACAGGAACGGTTTGCAGACTCTTGCCTAAATCAATGACCGTTAGGATGTTGTCTCCCCAATAGGTACACATATGAGTCTGGGCCCAAAGAGCAGAAGTGGGAGTGCCTTTCCTTACCCTCACTCCCAGGGTGAGGGAATGAGGTTTGGTCTGTTGATCTAAAGGGATTTAGCAAAATCAGGCCTAACTTGCACCAGATTGTCTCTTTCGGGGGTGCTCACATAGGGGGAGGGAGACAGCAGGAACACGAGGCAGGGGCAACACGCAAATTTAGGTGAGGGCAGCAGGGTGGCTCCACACGATGTGTCATAGGGAAGGGATTCTATCCAGATGCCTAGAGGAGAGGGGCCCGGGACTAATCGCAGGAAGAGGGGCGGGAAGGCCTTGCAGACCCA